ACCTCCTTTGTGGTATGGCTCCTGGGAGGACCCAATTTCTGCCAACTCAAACATCGGCTCAGTGCTCAGGGCTGGTAAAAACGGAGCGAGGGCCTCACAAGACACTGGGGCTGCATAGCACACAGCAGGTACCTGGTTACACGCAGCCCGACCGTGGTAATCAAGACATCAATCAATACAGCGCACAGACAAAACAAAGGACCATTAGTTCAAATCAAAATGAATCAGTTATAGACTTACACAACTATCATCATGTAATCATTTGCTCATACCTATGTTGAGCCAAACCTGTAAGACTTGTATTTTTCATTGTTGAATACTATGAAGTTTATCAAAAGCTCCTCTTTTCCAAACAATGAAAGCGGATGGGGACTAGAGGCTATCAAACAAAAAATAAAAAAAGTCTATAAAACTTCGGCATAATGTTCAATAATATTCAATATTCCTTGCACACTGAGTCCGAAATTTTCGTATGCGTTTTTATGGTTTTTTTCGTATTCGTCATCCTTTCCAATCAAAATGCTTGCTACGGATGTGAAAACGCAGAAATTCGAACCTGGTCTGAATTTTTTTATTACGGACAAAAGTTTCGGAGGCAGTGTGTAAACGTGATTGACACAACATGAGGTCATATTTATTTTTTAACGTGTGAAAATTTCGGACTCAGTGTGCAAATAGGGCTGTCATGATGATAAAATTTGGCTGACGATTAATTGTCTAAAAATAGTCACGGTTATTGCAATTAAATGTCTGTTTTAGGGCTTTGGCGATTATGATTAATTGTCTGTTTTTTATGGCTTTCATTATATAATTGTGATTAATTTAAGGGTTCAGTAAATAATTATGTTATCTTTTAATTTTTTTTTTAGATATTATTTTGCAGTGTAAGATTACAGAGGGTATTCCAAATTCTAAGAATCGGCCAATACCAATCCAACACCAGCGCTTTTTTTTCAAGAATATCAATACTGTGTTAGTGGAACTAATGGTCACTCTTTTTTTAAACCCTTTGTTAAACATAATCCACTAAATACTCACTTCCTCATTACAGAGAAAAACTACATTTGAATAAAAATATATAAGCTATGAAATTTGTCTGTTTTAGGGCTTTGGCGATTATGATTAATTGTCTGTTTTTTATGGCTTTCATTATATAATTGTGATTAATTTAAGGGTTCAGTAAATAATTATGTTATCTTTTAATTTTTTTTTTAGATATTATTTTGCAGTGTAAGATTACAGAGGGTATTCCAAATTCTAAGAATCGGCCAATACCAATCCAACACCAGCGCTTTTTTTTCAAGAATATCAATACTGTGTTAGTGGAACTAATGGTCACTCTTTTTTTAAACCCTTTGTTAAACATAATCCACTAAATACTCACTTCCTCATTACAGAGAAAAACTACATTTGAATAAAAATATATAAGCTATGAAATTAAACTAGCTGACTGAATACTCACTTCCTCATTACAGAGAAAAACTACATTTGAATAAAAAT